CTGTGTGCGTTCCTGAGCAACACAAGTGAGTTCATTCATTTTATTCTTCCCTGAGATAAATTAATGAGGGGCTGGGGGTCCCCCCACAAACCCCCAAATCAGCGCCGTTTTGGGTCATTTTCCATCACTCCAATTAAAAACAATGATTTCGCCCCATTTGTGCCACCCTCATCACTTCTGCCCCAAACTGGGGCCACTTCAGTGAAAACAGAGCAGAAAAAGGCAAAAATTTGGGGGTGCTGGAGGGGGGTGAGGAGGGGGGCAGCACTCAGCCACTGTGGAAGGAAAGGGATTTGGGGGTAAAAGTCCCTTTTCCGCCCACTTTGTGTTGGCTGAGAAGGGCCCCAAGGCACTGCCACAGCACGAAGAACCAAAGCCCAAAATGGCAGAAAATGGGGATTTGAACCTAAACGTGTGCCTGGAATTTGCTGAGATGCTCCCGGGCGATGATGAGGCGTTGAATCTGAGCGGTGCCCTCATAAATCTGCCACAAAAAAAACACAGGAAAAGGGTTTGGTTACCAAATATGGGCAATTTCAGCATTTGGATAAAATTTGGGGAGGGGGTTTGCCATTTTCAATGGGTTTGCTTGGAAAACTGGAGATATTTTGAGAGCAAAACATCCAAATGGACCATTTCTTCCAATAAATGCACTTCTGAGCATCAGCAAAAGGGAAATTTGGAGGATCTGTTGGACCAAGTTTGTGCAATTTCAGCATCTGGGGCCATAAAATGGGGACGGAGACAGCCAGTTCCAAAGGCTTTCCTTAGAAAACTGGGGCTATCTGAAGGACAACGCTGCCCCAAATGGACCATTTCCTCAAATCAGTACATTTAGCAGCATCCGCAGAAGGGAAATTTGGGAAATCTAGGGGAAGTGTTGGGCCAGATTTGAGCGATTTCAATGTCTGAGGTCATAATATGGATAAGGACCACAATATGGGTCTGGGGTTGGCCATTTTCAAAGGGTTTTCTTTGAAAATCTGGACTATTTGAAGGCCAGCGCTGCCCCAAACGTCCCACTCCCCCACCTGGTAGATCTTGGCATCCCTCATCAGCTTCTCCACGGGGTATTCGCTGTTGAAGCCGCTGCCTCCAAAGATCTGCACGGCGTCAGCAGCTGCCTGGTTGGCCACGTCTGCAGCGAAGGCTTTGGCGATGGAGGCAAAGAACGTATTGCGGCGCCCGGCATCCGCCTCCCAGGCGGCGCGCTGGTAGGCGAGGCGGGCCAGCTCCACCTTCATGGCCATCTCCGCCAGCAGGAAGGACACGGCCTGGTGCTAAGGGCAGCAATTAATCAGCGGCGGTCATTAGCGGGGGGAACGAGCCACTAACGGGGGGTCAGGAGGTGTGGGCAACTAGTAGATGTGGTGCTGTGCAGCTGTGGGGCGCGGATGAGGAGCGGGGTTGCAGGCAGTTATGCTCCCCATCCCAGCACCCAGAACTCGCATCAATCCCACCAGCTATGGGTGAGGTGCTCCCGCTCTCACTCACATCCGGCAGCATTTCAAGCCACGCTTTACAACTGATGAGACCCTAATTAAAGAGCTAAATAGCGGCTCACCTCCACGATGGGCTTCCCAAAGGTCTTCCTCTCCAGCGCGTACCGGGTGGCCTCATCCAGCGCCCTCCTGGCCAAGCCCACGGCGCCGGCCGCCACCTGCAGGGAGCACAGATCTCAGCCGCCATCACAGCCCCGTTCTGGGTGCAAATCTCACCGTTTTGGGACACTGACGGGCGGCCGGGTCTTGTCAAAGGCTCCCATGGCGATCTTGAAGCCGGCGCCTTCGGCCAGCAGCACGTTTTCCTTGGGGATCCTCACGTCCTCAAAGACGATGCCCCGCGTGTCCGAGCAGCGCTGCCCCATGTTCAGCTCCTGCATTAAAATGGAGGCCGTTCTGCAGGCACCAAGCAGGACATCGCCTCAGGGTGAGGGGATCCTATGGGGGTCCTGTGGGGCTCTGGGGGATCCTAGCAGCACCCTATAGGATCCCGATGGGATCTGTGGATCCCTGTGGGGCTCTGGCAGTGCCCTGTGGGGTCCCTATAGGGCTCTGTGAGATCCCAGTGGTGCACTAGAGGGTCTGTATAGGGTCTGTATTGGGTCCCTAGGGGGTCCCTGTGGGGCTCTGGGGAATCCTGGCAGAGCCCTATGGGGTCCCTGTGGGGTCCCCATGGGATCTGTGGGTCCCTGCGTGGTCTCTATGGTGCTCTGCGGCTCCCACAGAGGTCAGGAGGAGCTTTGGGATAAAGGGCCAGACCCCAAAGCCATTTAGGGGCAGGGCAGTGGATGCCATCTCCCTGCACTCTGCCTTTGGTGCGGTCCCACAGCACATCCTGTCTGCACTGCAGAGGGGTGGATTTGAAGGACAGACTGTGGGGTGGGTTAAGAACTTGTCCTCAGACAGCCAGAACCACCAAGTGTTAATTAGCCTGAAGACAGCTAATTAAGCATTAAGATAACGAGGAGGCCGAGGCCGCAGCCCCACCTTCCGCCCCACGTGGATCCCGGGGCTGTCAGCATCCACCACGAACCCCGTGAAGGCTTTGCTGGCTGGGGCCGAAAGGTCCGGGTCTGTGCGTGCCAGCAGGAAGTACCTGGAAGGGAGCAGGAAGTCAGCAGGAAGTACGGGGGAAAAGGAGGGGGAAGTGAGCAGGAAGTACCTGGAGGGGGAAGGAAGGAAGTGGTTGGGAAGTACATGGGAGGGGAGGATGTGGGTCTCAATGGCATCTTCCCCATTTATAAGAGACCAGATCACAGAGCTTTTAAAGCTGCTTTCCCCATCGATAATTAACTACAGCTCACAAGTTGGAATGGCATTTTTCCCATTGATAATTAACCAAATCTGAGAGATTTCAATGCTATTTTTCCCATTTATAATTAACCAAATCTCATTGGTTTCAATGTCCTTTTCTCCCGCTGATAAAATTGACCCAATCTCAGAGCTTTCAATGCTATTTTCCCATTGATAATTAACCACATCTCAAAAATTTTGATGATGATTTTGTCATTTATAAGTGATCCCTTCTCAGAGCTTTAAAAGCTGTTTTCCGTATTTGTACTTAACCGCATCTCAGACATCTCACTGCTGTTTTCTCCCTTTATAATTAACCACAGCTCATTGGTCTCAGTGCCCTCTTCCCCCACTTACAGCTCCCCAACCTCACAGCTTTCAACGCTGCTCCCCCATTTACCACCAACCCCACCTCAGTGACACAAACCGCCCTCCAGATCGGCCTCCATTTCGGGCTGAAAGGACCTGAAAAAGGGGTCAGATCTCACCCACCAGCTGGCTTTGCCCCCGTTGGTGATCCACATCTTCTGCCCATTGACGATGTACTCGTCGCCCTTCCGCTCCGCTTTGGTTTTAATGCCAGCCACATCGGAGCCGGCGCCGGGCTCCGTCACACAGTAGGCCTGGGGGGATGGATGGGGGGATTTTAGGGGGAAAAATGCCCTTTTTGGGGCTGCTACTGCAGCCAGATCTGCACAGCAGAGCCCCGATGCTTCCCCTGGGGTGAATGAATCATAGAATGGACTGGGTTGCAAAGGGCCAGAGTGATTATTGAGTTCCAACCCCCTGCTATGTGCTGCGTCACCAACCACCAGAGCAGGCTGCCCACAGCCTGGCTTTAAAGGCCCATAGAAAAGCACTGGGAACCACACAGACCTCACGGGAACCCATAGAAATGCACTGGGAAACATTGGGACCCATAGAGACCCCATGGAGACCAATCAGGACCCACAGAGACCCACTGCCCCCCCGCCCACCTCAGTGTCCCCCTGCCCCTTCTCCCCCCACCCATAAGAACACATACCTGAGCCTCTACCTGGGCTCTGCAGAGTGCAGGGAGATGGAATCCATTGCCCTGCCCCTAAATGGCTTTGGGGTCTGTCCCTTCATCCCAAAGCTCCTCCTGGACATGCAGGAAGGAGCACTCCCATTTTAACCCTTTTTTATCCCCAAACCGCCACCAGGAAGAGCACAAAATGTCACTTTGGGGTCAGTTTGAGCTGAAAAGGGAACCAAAAAGGCCCATTTTTGGTTAAAGGACATAAAAAGTGTTCCCATAAGGCAGCACTCACACACATGATGGGCTCCTCCACCATCCTGCCCAGGTATTTGCGCTGCTGCTGCTCGTTGCCCGCGATGATCAGCGGCATTTGCTATGAGGAAGCAGAGGGACATCACCCCTCCAGCCCCCAAAACACTGAAATTGGGGTGAAATGAGGGAAAAAAGGGGCGCTCACCCCAAGGGAATTGGCCTCCATGGCTGTCTGGACGCCGGTGCAGCCGTATGCCAGCTCCTCAGTGATAAGGCACGCCTCGAAGCAGCCCAGGCCCAGCCCGCCTGTGGGGCAGCACCCACAGCTGGGATCCCATGAGGACCCCACAGGGACCCGCTGATTCCATAGGGACCCCATAGAGACACTACAGGAACCCACTGATTCCATAGGGACCCCGCAGGGCACCACCAAGATCCCACAAAGCCCCATAGGGCACCCCATACAGCCCCCAAGGGGACTCATAGGGATCCTACACGGATCGTAGAGACCCATAGGGCACCACCAGGATCCCAGAGAGCCTCATAGAGACCCCACAAGAGTGACCACAGGGACCCCCCAGCTCCCCCCACACACACAGCTGTGGGCGCAGCCATCCACTCACCGCAGCTCTCAGGGATGTGAGTATTGATCAGCCCCAGCTCCCAGGCACGTTTGATCAGCGGCATGGGATACTGCAACAGGGTGTTAATTAAGGGCTGGCCCTTAATTAGGGTTGAGGGCAGGGGGCTATGGGGGATACCTCTCCAGTTCGGTCATACTGTGCTGCCACGGGGATGATCTCCTCCAGTGCAAAGCGCCGTGCTGTAGCCTGGAACTCCTTCTGCTGTGGGCTCAGCTCTATGGGGGGGACACAGCGCTGGGCATGGGGGGTTTATGGGACTCATGGGGGAGAGGACAATGGGGCGAGCACTTGTGGGGCACAGGGGTTGGTGGAAGGTGCTGGGAGGCAACAGGAGGTTGGAGGGAGTGTTGGGGGACACGTTGAGGAGGTAGGGGAGAAGTGCTGATGGGGGGAGCGGGGGTCTTATCGGGGGGTAAAAAGGTTTGGGGTGTTATGGGGGCAGCGAGGGAGAGGTTGGGATGTTGGGGGGGAGGGGCAGAGGGGTTTGGGAGCAGCACGACTGCTCAGTGAGATGGAAGGGCTGTGGAAAAGCCCCCCCCACACATAGAGCAGGATTTACCCAAACCGGCAGCTTTCTGCCCCAAAATGCCAGCACTCACCAAAGCTGAAGCCGCCTGTGGGGGTCCCATGCTGCACGTGTGGGGCAGCCCCCATAGAGAGCAGCCTGCGCCCACAGCGTGCTGCTGTGGGGAGCACCTGGGGGGGAAGGGGGAGGTCAGAAATGGGCACTGCCCCCCCCCCACTTCTGGGACTCCAATGACCCCACCCTACTTCCAGGCCCCCTCAGCTGCAGAATCCTCATGACCCACCCCCCCACTTCCAGTGATCCCATGATTCTGGAATTCAACCCCAATTCTGGGACCCCCCCAGTTTCAGGACCCCCAATTCCCAGATTTCAGTGATCCCATGATTCCACAGTTCCAGGACCCCACAACTTGGGATTCACCCCCAATTCCAGGACCCCTCCAGGGCCTCGGTGACCCCCCCCAAGTTCTATGATTCTGGGACCCTGGAATGGACCCCAGTCCTATGACTCCAACACCCCAGGAAATGGGGACCCCACAATTCCAGGACTCCACACCTCTGGGACCTCCATAATCCTACGATCCCCAGACCCTAAGATTGTGGGACCCCCCCCAATCCTACGATTCCAACACTCCAGGATTGTGGGACCCCACGTCTCCCTTCCAGGGCCACAGCACTTCACACCCTACAACACAGCCCACACTGCCGTCCCTCTGCCCTTCACCCTTCCCCCACATTGGGGTGTGGGGCGGCCCCAAAAGGCACCGTAGGGATCCCAGCAACTTTGGGCCCAATTCTGCACAATTCGGGACCAATGCCCGACAACCCTGACCCCATAAACCTCAAATTTAGGCCACTTTTCTTGCCCCCAAAGGATGCAAAAATGGCACAGCTGACAAATCTCCAATTTTATGCCCCAAATCCCAACTTCTATATCCTAAAAAGACTCAATAAAGGTACAGATGAAGAAAAACTCCACTTTTATGCCCCAAAACATTAAAGAGTAACACCTCAATGGAGGTAAATCCCCACTTTTTTGCCTCAAACACCCACTTTTATGCCCCAAAATGACATAAAAAACAGCACAGCTGAGGGAAATAACCACTTTTATGCCCCGAATCCCCACTCTCTTTGCTCCAAACCGCCACTTTTTTGCCCCAAAGCAGCACAATATTGGCACAGCTGAGGGGAAGCCCCACACTTCTTTCCCCAAATCCCCACTTTCCCCCCCAAAACACCACAACAGCACAGCTGAGGTAAAAGTCCACTTTTGTGCCCCAAAACAACAATGGCACAGCTATGAGAAACCTCCCACTTCCATTCTCCAAACTCCTACTTTTTCTGCCCCAAAATGACACAGAAATGCACAGCTGAGGAAAATCCCCCACTTTCACACCCCAAATCCCTACTTTTTTTTACCTCAAATCCCCACTTCTACACCCCAAATCACTACAATAACAGCAGCTTTCATGCCCCAAATTCCCACTTTTTTTGCCCCAAATCACTACAGTAACCACACAGCTGAGAAAAAACCCACTTTTATGCCCCAAATTCTCACTTCTTTGCCCCAAATCCCCACAATAAAGGCACAGCTGAGGGAAATTCGCTCCTTAACCCTCCAAATCCCCATTTTGTCCCTATTATGTCCCAAATCCCCATTTTTTTGCCTCAAAACCCCACTTTTACACCCCAAAATGATTCAATAACAGCAGAGCTGAGGACAATAACTGCTTTTTTGCTCTAAATCCCCACTTCCCCCCCCCAAAACAATAGCACAGCTGAGGTAAAAGTCCACTTCTGTGCCCCAAAGCGACACAATAATGGCACAGCTATGAGAAATCTCCCACTTTTACACCACAAATCCCCACTTTTTTGCCCCAAATCTCTACAATAACAGCACAACTGAGGTAAAAGTCCACTTTCATGCTCCGAATTCTCAGCTTTTTGCCCCAGAATGGAACAACATCGGCACAGCTGAGGGAACCTTCAACATGATGCCCCAAATTCCCACTGTTTTGGCCCAAGACAACACAATAATGGCACAGCCGAGGGAAAATTCCCACTTTTCTGCCCCTAGGCGACACAGTGACAACACAGCTAAGGAAAAAAAAACACTTCTCTGCCCCAATTTCCCACTTTTCTGCCCCAAATCGCACACAACGACACCGCTGAGGGAATCCCCCCCCCCCCCCCCCCCCCCCCCCCCCCCCCCCCCCCCCCCCCCCCCCCCCCCCCAAGCCCCCACAATTACCCCCCAAATCCCCACTTTTTCACCCCAAAACACCATAAAAACGGCACACCTGAGGGAAAACCCCCCCTTTTACGCCCCAAACCCCCATTTTTATGCCCCAAATCCCCACTTTTTCGCCCCAAAACCCGACGACCGCCGCAGAGCCGCGGCCGACCCCGCGCCCTCACCCGCGTCCCGCGCAGCGCCGCCATTTTGTGAGGCCGCGGGGCGGAGCGCAGCGCGCAGCACGGAGAGGCCGCGAGTTCGAATCCCGCTAGGGGCGAACGGCGCCTAAGGGCCGCGGGTTCGAATCCCGCCCCGTCCCCTCCCCCCGATTTAATTATTAACTCTAATTAGCCGCAATTAGCCCTCTGCTCGTCCCACCCTGTGGGAATTGCAGGCAGAAACTGGGGTAAATTCGGGCGATTTGGGGGCCGTTCCCTCATTAACGGCGGTGATTTAAGGCCGTAATTCCTCAAAATCCGGCGTGGGCGGTGATGGCTGTAATCCTCATTAATGACCTCGGGGTAATTAATTGAGCTACGCGACGGAAATCCCGAATATTGAGCAATAAATCCCGCATCTGTGGGGAATTATGGGTCGTAAATGCCAATTAATACCGTAATACCTCCTAAATCCCGGGACATCGGGGTATAAATCTGTAATTAATGCCATAATTTATGTCATAGAGGTCATTAAAAGTGCTAATTGCACATTAGTCCCTCAGATTATGGATTTAAATCCGTGATTAATGGCATAGTTCATGTCATAGAGGTGATTAAAACGCTAATCCCACAGAAATCCGCCAGATTATGGATTTAAATCTCTAATTAATGGTGCGTTCTGGTTCATAGAGACTAATTAAAGCGCTAATCCCACATAAATTCATCAGACTGTGGGATTTCGTCTATAATTAATGGCACATTCTCAGTCATTAAAGTAAATTAAAGCGCTAATCCCGCATAAATCCATCAGATTATGGACTCAGATCTGTAATTAGTGGCACTTTCTGTGTCATTAAGGTAAATTAAGGTGCTAATCCCACAAAAGTCGCTCAGATTCCGGAACAACATCTGCAATTAATGGGATATTCCGTGTGGGAGAGGTGAATCAATGCCGTAATCCCGCGTTAATCCCACAGATTATGGAAACGGACGGGGCAAAAAAAGGGAAAAAATTAAAAAGGGGAAAAAAATTAAAAAGGAAAAAATAAAAAAGGAGGAAAAACGAAACAATAAAAGGGGGAGAAGAAAAAATAGAAAAAGGGAAAAATGGTGGGGGGGGCATTGGGGGGCGGATCTATAGGGGCGGGGGTCCGTGGGGGGGTCTATAGGGCGGGGGGGGGCCAAAGGGGGGTCCTGGGGGG